GTAAGAAAATTCACATTTATTAAAGGAAGATAACATTGTCATGAGTGTTTAATATGTGATTAAAAAGTTAAATCAGTTTCCAGTACAAATAGGAAAGCAATTTTTTGCAGCAGATATCCCAATTTATTCCCCAATAGTTCTGCAATTCACACTCTCCAAGAAATATCCTAATTGGACTTGAAATAATATGCTGTATAATAAAATGTTCAGCTAACATTTTTGCATAGTGGTAAGATGAAGGACGAGTGTAGTATACGATTTTATATTTTACTAGTGGACCCGGCAATGCTTCGTTATTGCAATATATTGCACTTCACATGCTACTGGTCACGTAATTGGCAATCACGTTTTACGCTGTGCAAAAATTTCAATAAACGAAAGACTTTCTCGAGACTGTGGTTCCGTCTCTCTCTCGCTCTCTCGCTCTCTCGCTCTCTCGCTCTCTCGCTCTCTCGCTCTCTCGCTCTCTCGCTCTCTGTCTCTCTGTCTTTCTCTCCCGGGAAATATTACAATCTCAGGGGTAGAGTACGCAGTGAAGACGTCTTAATAATCGTACTTAAGTATTCAGCGGGAGAGCGCTGTGACGTAGAGCTCCCTCATCATGGCCCTTGAGTCTACACAAAATCATTATCAACGCACCTCTATGTGCGCAGACATAGGCATATTCCCATCGTATTATGTCAATATTATTTGCTGAAGTGCAAGCAATAAGTTGACAAAGTTTTATCGCAATCGGGTGAACGATACAATAGAGTATTAAGCACAAACAACAAACAAACTTGTTTTTAATATTGGATAAGAACAATGACAACAGAATAAAATGCATTTTATAAGGAATAAACTTATATTTTGTGCAAGAAAAATCAATGATCATGGGATGAAGAAAACATGATAAGCGTGCAATCCACGCCGAGGAAGTCATGACCGTGGAAGTGGGAGATTGTTGGATATGACGCCAAAGAAGAAACAGAACGGAAATATAAAAGAAATATTTCGAATTAAGAACGGTCGGAAGAAATTGAAAAAGGATTACGTCATTTCAAACAGTAGAAAATAGCCTCAAAAATTAAATCAGGAATCGAAATTTAGATTAATTTATGATCGAATGCCATTATTGCTGTGAAGTAAGTACACTTCTGTAGGCATTATGAATATTCTAAAAATATTTCGCCATATTTTGAGCGTTTTGACGCAATACCAAAAATTAATAAGGCGACACAAAATTTTGAACAGTTTGACTCAATTTTTTACTGAACGCTATTTTAGCACAGTTTTCCCATGGCAGTCTCTATAACATCAAAAGCAGACAGTACCAAACCGGTAACGTATCGGCGACAAATCGCAACTGCTCCCAAACGGCGTGTAACTGCCTCGCCCTCGCCCCCGCCCCCGCTCTCGCCCTAAACCGTTCCCTGCGTCCAGCCATCGACAGAAGTGAGAGATAGCCGTAAGCCCAGGACTGGAGGGATGAACGGACGAGCCCGGACCGGGTTTATGAACGCTGCTCACTGACGGCTGGCGTCGATAAGCACGATTGCAGGCAATGAATGACGCCGAAGGACAATATTGAGTTGCCAGCAACAAATACGAATGCACGAACGAATATAGTAATAATACGTAAAGTAATAGAAACTGCTGAAAATTAGAGAAATATACTATAGTTTCTAACTTTGTATCTTTGTTAGAATTAATTATATTTGCGACAATATACTTGAGCAACGTGATTTTTATTTTAAAAACATTAAATTTCGCCCAAATAACTTTACGTAATTTTATTACATTATTATTATAGTTATTATTATTATTATTATTATTGATTCTATCATCATTATTGTTATTAATAAGACTATTAATTGTGATATCCCTTATAGTTTAGAACATTCCCTGAGAAAACATAAATCCATAAAAACAGTTTTATATAATGAGCAAAAAGCACTATGTGTCGACGCGTGGACTGCTAGCTAGTGACATATATGAACGTCCAATGAACTGGATAAAAATACGGTATTTACGGTTGGTCCAATGAACTGGATAAATATACGGTTAATAATGTTATAACCGCTTAGACACACAATTGGCATTGTATTTGCGAGCATGAGAAGAATAAAGTTAATGGTAAGGTAAATGCATTCCCGCAAAAGACCCACGACCCTCGATTTTGTCTACCCCATATTGAATATCTCTAATTTCAGGTTTTAACGTAATTTAAATATTAATGTGAATTGTATTATCTCCATGTGGATAAGAATATTCTACCGGATTTGTATTATTTTTAAAGTAACGTAAAAGCTGTTCTTTTTTTGATATCCAAGAATAACAATTTTTTTAAATTTATAAATATATTATGAAATACGTGCTAAACAACATGCAACACTGGAAACAGTGATTTATTTTAAATTTAATTCAGACTCCTACAACAGCGAGATTGGCTAAATAAAAGGAAAAGATTTTATTTTCATCAAAGGCTGTCAGAGAAATCATCTCGAAAAAAACCGATGCCTGAGGAAATTAGTTCCAAGAAACGTAAAACAATGGACCTTTTATTTCCCGCAGCTGCTCTCTCAGAATATCTGGAAAACTAATCTGGTCGCATTTGCTTCACTGCTCGCGTCGTCTGACTCGTGACCACAAATGCGCCACAAATGCCGCACGGGACGAAGATTTCCCCTTGGCACTGTGCTCTTAGTTCCATAGCCTTCCTGATGGAGCGTGGCAATTTCTACGGAAAAGGCCCAACGCTCACTCAGACGGAAGTGGACTGTTAAAAGAATTAGGCACTTTGCTTTTTATCTGCGGCGCTCTTCTATTTCAAGCTACCTGTTGCGCCAGCGATGAGGATCTGAACCTCAAAACACCTCCAGGGCATGGCAGTCACGTGACGACGTTAGTAGGTGGTAGACACAATGGGGAGTTTGAGGCGTATGTTTCGTATCTTTGCAAGTGCGCATTAGTGTTTTTCTCAGTCATTACACTTTCTACTACTACGTACGTTCAGCAATTTTTATCCTAGTCGCTATTCATTTCTTTGTGTGTGATCCTGCTTTTCTTCAGTATTTAAAGTCAAAGGCCGGTTGTGAAGAGGGTGGTATGTGCTATAGAAGAACGATGGAGAGTGAACATTGCGATGTATCCGCAGTCCGTTGTTTGCTCTGCTTCTCCAACCTTTCCCTGAAAGTGATCTAGGATAAGCGTGCAAACCACCGGCGAAGGCAATCAAGGGACTCGATCGGGGCAGGGCTCACAAACTAGCAGACGTTGAGCACTGTCGGAAGACTTTTCTTTACATCTCATTTGACATTGCCCGTCTTGCCAAATATTGTACTAAGTTCAGGTGACATATTATGAAGTAAATTGTCCACAGATTTTTGAGTTCCTTGGCTTTTTATTGTTCACCCATGAACTGCCGCTTGCATATATTTACAATTCTATAATTTTCATTATAAATTATTATCCCCTATCTCATTTTATCTTTCTTTAATCTTCGCCATCAGTCATGATTTTTCATCTACCAATAGCGTGATAGTTGAAATTTTGTTATAGTTTTGTGCATTGCTCCTCACATTAGTACCCGTTACTCATTCATTTCATTACATTTCCCTTACCCTTTTCTCCCCTTCCTCTCTTCGATTCTACCCTTTTTCATACACATCATTTCCATCTTTTCCGGTCAACTTTTTCAATCATTTTGTCCTCAAATACGAGCAAGTGCATGGATTGATGATTATAAATGGGAGTTAAGTAGATTGGTCATTGACAGGGCTGCAAGCAGTGATTACTTGGCTGGTTATTCCATGATTCCAGGCGCGTCAACTGCTATGGTCATTCGTCCCTTAAGATTAGTATATATTTTTTCCTAGAGGTGGTGGTGATCTTTCTCCGCTGAATGCTGAAAGGCAGCACATACCTACACCTCGGCTAGCGGGGTTTCCTCAACTAGGCATCTTGCACCAGCGGGGCACTGCACCAGCGGGGCACTGCACCAGCGGGGCACTGCACCAGCGGGGCACTGCACCAGCGGGGCACTGCCCCAGCTGGGACAAGCTCTGAGATCTCGACTGTACTCCCGATATGTTTACTACGTAATATCGTCATGTCTACTTCACGTAAAGTGTTAGAGTAGCTGAAGGGAAGGGAAGAAAATATCGCCCGCGGTCCGTGAACCGCTTGATAGGGTTCTGTTCCGGCATTCGCCTGGTGTTGATCGAAGTAACCATAGAAAACTACCAATCCCAGCAGCCGGCCGCTAGACTTCTCCTCCATTTAGCGGCTGAATTCGACCTATGAACTTAGCCAGCGCCAAAGATCCGCCACGTCAGACTCTACCCCAGGCCCAGAGGCAGCCACTGATGCCCTGAACCACCTGCGCCGGTGACGAACTTCAGCCAGTGACTTCACAAAAGTGTCCAGAGTAAAACATCCGTTGCTTCCGCTTCTGCACCACCGCAGCCGCCACCGGTGCAGACGCGCTGTTTGTCGCCAGCCGCCGGCGCGCAGATCCACCTCCACGCGCGGAGGGGCGCCTCCTCCTATAAACCGGGAAATTTACACTCCGCGCGGTGTTTTAGCGCCGGAACCAGGTCTTTGCGCCGCCTGCCGCTCCGCCTACCGGCTCCGCCCGCCACTTGCCGCCCTCGCTCCCCTCCCCGCAGCTGCCCCATCTAATGCCCGCCCACCCTTCCCTCCCACCCTGCAACTGCGTCGGCCCTGCCGCGTCGCTCGCTGCCGCCGCGCCCACCTCACCCCTCCCCTCCCCCTCCCTCCCCGCCCGCTCCGCCTACTGCCTCGCCCGCTCGCCCGCCGCGGCCCACACCGCGACACCGAGGCAAGAGGCAGCCGCACCGCCCCGGGTTACGGCGCTCTGAACTTCCGCTAACGGTTACGGCTACGGTTCCTAGCGGTAGCCTGACAAAGCGGTGAGGAGGGGAGCGGGGGCGGTGCGCGTTTACGCGCTACTCCGGCCGTCTTGTAATTACTTCGTCAAGTGTCGAAGTGTTTCGGAGATGAGGGTGGAAGAAGGTGCGGGTGAGCAGGGCGTTGATGTTGATGCAGGTGGTTGGCCGGAGGAAAAAGTGGCGGTGTGCTGTGGGGGAGCCAAGTTTGCTGGCGTTGCTAGCGTACAGTCGCAATATCGGCCGCGAATTTGGGTGGCGGGATGCGAGAAGCAGGCAGTTCGTGAGGAGAAATAATGAAAGTTTCAGAGCAACGTTCCATCACCACTTATTTCTAATTAGAGTGTAGTTCACTAGCTTTCCAAGTCACATGCATAGATGCATAGTCCTCATTTGACTTATTTCAATGTCACAGTGATTTTATGTTTAACCAACACTGCGTATTTTCTATCCTACCCATTTTCACACACTTTCATACTGAAGACCACCCATACACATTTGATCGCGAATTTTGGCACCAAATAAATATGATAATTTCATTTCTCATTCTGTACATTTATTATTATTCGCCAGTAATCGTTGATCTAGTTAATTTGCATCTAGTGGAATGTTAAATGAATGTTCCTTTTATTTCTGGTGTTTTACTATATTTTAATAACTACTTTGATATAAAAAAAGAGTAAAAATAGTAATGCATTCATGTAAAAGTTTCAGAATGCATTCATGTAAAAGTTATCATTTTTATTAAACTATTGCCGTGCCAGAGGAATTGAAATCTGACCTCTTGATTTGCGCCCAATTGCTCACACAACAGAGTGAACGAATGCCTTGAAGTATTTATTGGCAAGATTTGGAAACTCTGCCAACAAGTGGAACCAGTAGACAGATATATATTGACGGTTTCTTGAATCGACTCCTGTTTTCGAACAACAAATACACGTGGATGAATGATAAAAATTTGCACATTTACTCAATATATTTGGCAGTTGTCGATTCAGATAGTACTCGTAATCATGTTCCGAATTGCGGGGAGTATTCTCGAGCAAATGAACATCATTTGATTTCGAAACTATATATTTATTGAAATACTTCTCTATCAGTGTTTATTCTCCTATTACTCTTTGTAACGATTGCTGTTATTCACTGTACACTATTCATCGTTCGTACGTGGATAGCTACTCATCGATCATATCATAATGAGACCGCGAGCGGTTCGAGAAAATAAATTCTATCAAAGAAAACTTGCAATATTTTTATGTATCGCATTTTTTTGAAATTATTAGCAGTTTGTCGCCATATGATTGCATAACAAGCTATTCTTAATTTGTATACATTGTTGGAGTTCATATTAACATTGTAATGGAGGGTAATCGTTTAATTGGTTTGGTATTTTTAATACCATTCGATATCATTTGCAACCTGGCCCTATTATCGTTTTTGTTGAAGTCCCTCCACCCAGCTGAACTCCTCCACCCTCCGCGCGTGGTTATTTCTGGCCTGAAGCGCGTCGCCCACGTCCCCGCCCCCGCCCCCGCCCGCGAGTGCGCCGCGCGTTCACGGGGCCATTTTGCATCGCCCGCACGTTCTCTCGCCCGTCCACCCAGGCGCGCGCGTTGCGCACGTAGCTGGGGAGAACTTTTCGCGCTCGCCTGGCCCCGTCCTGCCCTGCCCTCCCTAACCCTCTACATGCACTCGATCCCGACCCGATACGACCCTCCCAAAAACGCCCCAGCCCTCCCAAATACGCCCCACACCTCTCAAAAACGCTCCATCTCTCCCAAATTCTTCCGTCTCTTCCAAATACGTTCCGCACCTAAAAAAACACGTCCCGTCCCACCAGTATACGTTCCACCCCTCCCAAATATATTCCGGCCTCCCAAATACATCTCGTGTCTCAAAAGTACATCCGCTCCTCAAAATTCGCCTCGCTCCACCCAAATACACCCCTCCTCTACCAAAATGCTTCGCCTTCTCAAACCGTTCAATCCACACAAATCCATTTTCCTATCTAAAGCCATTAAAACACTTCTCAAACCACATGTCTAGATGTTCTACTATCTCTCAAACCCTTCCCGTCTTTCGAAACCCGTCCCACCAACCGAACCCGATCCACTCAGCCAAACCAGATTCACTCAGTCAAACCCCAACCTCACTCATCAAAATGTACCCCGCTTACCCAAACACTCTCGTCCTCCCCCCACACACAAACTCACCCGATCCTTCGCAAACCCACCCCATAACTCTGGAACGCGCCTCAACCGCATAAACTCCCATCCTCCGTTGAACCCACCCACCTGAGCGTTGAGCCCACCTGCCTCCCTTGCACGCGTGCGCGCCCTCCCCCTGCGGGGCGCCCTCTGCACCGCGTCGGCGCGCGCACTCTTCCCCGCGCTCGGCTGCGCGTGCGCCCCCGAAACCGCCGATAATTACGAATCCTAATTGACAGCTATTGCACGGCAATGCCGGCGACACACCTTGCCCGCCCGCACCCGAGCAGGCGGGGCGGCGGCGGCGGCGGCCGCGGGCGGCTGACAGCTGAAATTAAGCGATCGGCCACCGCGCGCAATTACGCCGCGATTATCCTGCGGCGGCCAAGTAATAAACGCTCGCGCCGCCGCCGGGCGCGCCACCGTCGCGCCACGTCGCGACGCCGGCCGGCCGGGTAATGATGCTTTGGGTGGCTGTGCCTTCCGTCCCCCCGCCATCGGCAGGAAGTTCCACGTTTTGTAATTTGGTGGCGGCGAGAGGACCATTGGAAAGGGTATCGACGGTGCTCGTTCTGTGTTCCACCTTTTTTAATATATAAAATGTTCAATATTCCATCGAGAAATTTATTTCTGAATACCGGAAGAGATGGCTTAGGGATTCAACTGATGTCACTATAGTCCCTCTGACCAGGTGATTGTTGGTTTGAGTTCCGGCGACTGCAGGACTTTTGACACAGCTGTCTGGAGAACAATTCTAACGTCCAGATGCTCGGTTGATAGTTTTGCATCGTTTGTCCGATCAACACCAGGTGTATGCGGGAGCAGTACCCTATCAAACGGGCTACCGACCGTGCACGATCTTTCCCACGTCTTCCACGTCCTACCCGTTACACACATTACTTACATTTACATGCACTACACTAATACACATGCTGGTAGATTGGTCGGGAGCTAACAGCTTGTTGCGGCTGGGGCGGTGCCCCGCTAGTGGGAAATATCTTGGTGGGGAAAACCCCGCTAGTTGACGGCAGGTTGGCGCCGAACCGCGTCATACAGCGGAGGAAGATTACAGCCAACTCGTAAAACATGCACTACACTTACGAGACTAATGACACTAGTAGTTGACGCGCCCGAAATCACTACCAATCAATCTAAATTTAGGGTGTTTTTGTTGAATGACAAAAGTGTTATAGCGTCTTAAAATAAACAAACCAAACTCAACTAATCTCAATATTTCAAGGGATCGTTATTTTTTTATATTAAGTTCATTACAGCGTTTAATCTCAGAGTATTAACCCAATATTTGAGAATGTTCCTCTAAATCACAATTTACTGTTTTTACTAATTAAAATATATTCTATAAAGTCAATTCCAAGTAAAGAAGATAATTAGAAATTGATTTTAAAATTCATTATATATTATAGTCCACAACTGGGTTGATTTAACAACTGCCAACGACCACTGCATTATCCTGATATTGACCATATTATACACAATGACAGACTATGCTATCGAACAACTTAATCGTTATTCATTTTCATAATTTCCAATTTACATTACATTATTGTATTATTTTCATACATATGTCTGATTTAATATTTTTATTTTATTTTTTTTATAGATTTGCTGCCATCAAGGCCATCAAGGGACTCATCCCAGCCAGATCTCCGCGGGTAACTACCTAGCCACGCAGAATAGAGTAAGTTATACGTACTTGATTTATAGATTATTTAGTCATTTCCGGAGCGTCAATTGCTGTGCAAATCATACTCGTTGCTGTAGTGCATGTTGTGTATCCCGGGAAGTGCCCCTTCCCCGCTGTGATGTGAGATCCTGCGTCGGCATATACCTAGGCTGCAAGGCATTTTCTTTCTCTGGAGTCTCTGCTCGAAACTCGAAGCTCTTTCGAAGGTGTCTCATTGGCGTTGAAGAAGAGCGCGTACGAAACCCTAATAGTTCAGTTATTTTCACAATTGTTTTAATTTGATGGAAATGACTCTCGAAATGGAAATTTGGAGAAAAGTTGGGACGTTCTCTTCTATTGTGCAAATGTGTTACAGAAGCTTCTGGTATACGTTTTTTAAGTGTATCTGAAATTAATGTTTTCGTTGTGTAAGATTTAACCCTAAGGGGCGATGTATACGTGCACAGTAAAATAAGCTATAACATATAATCATGTTTTAAATTTGAATTTAAATTTTTTTGTTTTTGTGTATTCGTATTGGAATAAGCATTAATACCCTTTAGAGTTACAGAGATATTGATATCTGTATCTCAATTGCTTATTACTAAATTTGAGATCCAAGATGTCTGATCTGTGGTGACTGCATTTTGGAAGTCATTAAAATAGAAATAAAGCATATTACGTATAATATCATCGTTTCCACAAAATGTCACTTTTAAAAGGCTGCTTTCATATTACTCATTGTAATTGTGCACAGATACGGTTCATATTAAGTTAATTTTTTTTAACATTTTCTGAGAAATCTGCGGAACCATTTGTGAAATATATCTCCACGCACGATACGTAGGCAAACTCATACAATTCATACAATTTCATTGAATATTTCATTCATACTCTTCATTCAATTTCATTGAATATTTGAAATTATGTTAATATTGCGGCACAAACCCTAATCAACTATATTTACATATTATTAATCATTAATAATAAAATGATGCCTAACCTTACCTATGGTACTGTTAATGAAATTAAGGCAAATACTGTGCTGTATTTTTAAATCCTTGGATTCTCGTTAGGAATTCTATTGAATTCATCATCTTTAATTTGATATCGTTCTGTTATTAACGTAAAGAGTTAATTAACGTGGTCGTAAAACTCATTCTGTATAGATCGGAAATGAATATAATTACCTTCTAGGGGACATTCAGGTTACATTGTCAAAGATACGAACTTTTCTCGTATGTTTGCAGACATGTGTGTGGGTTTGAAATAGTATGTGAATGTAACGCTGCGTGTTCTTATTTTTCATTCATTTATTTTTTTATCGTATGGGATTATTTGCAGGGAGTCTGCCCTTAGACAGTTGTTCCACACCCGTGTTTTTCGACCCAGACTTGCTTGGTAGCTTGGGCTCTGGGGACCTTTATCGAGTAGGCGTGTCTCGCGGGGGATACCTTAATTGCGCCTGGGATTTGTCTCTCACTTTCTCCGCCTGATGTCGGTCTCAGTTAACTATATCCGAACTGTCTGGTTAGGAGAAAGTGAGATCTCGTTAGGGCGGAATGTTATCGGAGGGATTTAATTTTACTGGGCATACCGCCAGGGTTATTTTACGTGCCACAAGTGTGACATGATTACTCTGGATTTTCCGTGGTTCAGAGGCCAGTAAGCTATTCCCACACCCAACAAGATCCCCTTCTCTTTGTACTTGCCCCAAAGGGCATATCATTCACGAGGTGTTGGTGAGAAAGTTGAAAGTCTTGATTTCCTTATCAATTATGGAATGATAAACAGATAGAATGCATGTTTTGCAAGAAAAAATGGCCTTTTGTTTGGGAGAATAAATTTTCAGAATTTTGGTCTATAATACAGGTTTGCGTAACAGTCAAGTACCAGCGAGGGATCACAGACACTCCCAAGCCTCGTTCTTTTTATCTTAGTCAAGGTAAATAACTACATTTTTTGGTTTAGGACTTTTATTATCAGATAATGTTTGTGTCCTTAGGGATATTTTCAACGTTTAGCGCTTATCTGATGTTCACAAATCGATCCAAACTCGACGCCTTGGCTTCCTGGGAACCTCCAGCCTTTTCAGTCAGACTTAAACGCATTGCAATCTCATTTTAGTATTTGTCTAAAACTGTGTAATAGGTGAATCGTAGTTATTGATGAAGTAGTTATTCAAGGAAAAGGGCGAGGCCATGAGTGTTCCTACGTAAAGGACTGCAAGAAGAAATTATTTTCAAAATACAAATGCCCTGACCAGACCACAAAAACTGAATATATTTGATACATGAACATTTGATACATTGAACTTACATAATAGTATATTAATCAACTACTTTATAATGTTAAACATTATTGTATGAGTTTGTGATTTCAAAACAAGTGACTTAAAAAACGAGTTTGCAATTTTGTCCGAATACAATGAGGCAACATTATAAACGAGTGTCGGGTGCTTGGTTTACCTCTGCCTCCCCACAATTCTTTTGCTGCAATTGACTGAAGGTGTAATGACGCAATTATTCGTGGCATTAACCGGCAAATATGTCATTATCTGTTCCATAAGATGTTATTTTGTGAACAATTTATTGTAACAAAAACGGGTTGTTTATATTGCAGGATTATAAAAAATGAGTTTAATATACTACCAAATACATGTATCATTACGTCTTTAATATTTACGTACATTTTTCCTTCAATTACATTAGTACATTCGGGGGTCCTCCCATTATTCTCGACCCCCACCCCTCATTGGCGTTCTCAGGGCATTGATAGGGCATTGGCATGTGCATGTCCGAAAACAAAAGAAAGCAGCAAGATCATATTAGTTGGGAAAATTTGGCCGCGGGTCGGGTGGGACCGGCGCCTCTGCGGCGGACAGCCCTTCAGTGCCGGCGGCTGCGGCGGTGGCTGCGGCTGCGGTGGAGGCGGCGCGTCCCGCCGGCCGCTGGGCGGCGCTGATTGCGTTTAGGAATCGATATGCGCGCGACGCCCAGCGCGTCGCCCGGCGCGCCGCTCCCCGCCCCCGCCCGCGCTCGCACCACAACTCTCGGCCCCGCTCTCGGCCCCGCAACTCTCGGCCCCGCAACTCTCGGCCCCGCAGCTCTCGGCCCCGCAGCTCTCGGCCCCGCAGCTCTCGGCCCCGCAGCTCTCGGCCCCGCAACTCTCGGCCCCGCAACTCTCGGCTACCGCGAGCGCCACCTGTAAAAAGGTTTCGTTGTTCCACTGGCTACGTTTGGCTCTATGTCCCAATTTTTACTTGCTCTTTCACGTTGCTATATAAATAGTAGGGCTTATATCATCTCTTTTGACATTAGTGCATTAACAAACCATCAATATTCAAATATAAAATGCTACAGTCACCTACGGTTGGCCCTGTATTTATGTGCAAACATGATTTTATGATTTTCCCGGAGCTTACTTAGGTTTGGATGTTACTCTAAGAAGGGACCAGAATGACAGAACGCGAAAGAGGAGAACGTCATGTCGGACGATGGCATTATAAGAGGTGGCGTCGAAGCCATTTACAAATGAGCCAACTGCAAACAAATAGTGACGAATTGAGCGCTTGTACATAATCTGCAGCTTTGTTGGCAACAGTAGCCAAGCAATAACTGTCCCTTCTTAAAATAATAACTCGGTACAAACGTGAATTACGTATTGCCCAATGGAATAACTTTCTACAATGTATACTAAAATAA